TAGTATTTTTTTCCCTTTTTTGCTATAAAAATAAATCTGTATCCAGGAACATGTAGGAAAAAATGATATTTTGCTTACAAAGTCAAATACTTGCCTTTTAGGAAATTTAATACAATTTCATACCATGCAACCTTATTTCTGTTCCTAGGTATGTCTGGTGATGATCTTTTTACATGGTCACATACTGTTGTCCAACAGATTTAGATAAAATGTAAAGGTTATATCCTTTCAGAATTTAATTAAAGAGGGGTGTAATAGACTGATATGCTACGGGACTACGTTGGGATTAATAGTTTCACTTTTGAATGGTCGTGGTTGAACCATGCATTGTGGTGTTGTGGAAAAACTGATGAGTTATACTAACAGGTGCATTTAATTAGTTTTAACCAAAGATTGGAGCCTCCCTTAAGGATGGAGGAAATTAGCAATGGTATGGGAAACTGAGGTCCTGCCGGGATAGCCCTAGGAACAGCCAAACTTAAGAGGGAAAGCTTAGGCTGTAGTTTTATGTTGTGGAAATACTGATCAATAAAAACAGTCCCCAGGATGAGAATAACTTTCAACTTCATACAGACTGGCTGCACTTTATTCACTTCTTCAGTGGAATTTGGGAACTTTACCAGTTTGTTTTTTTTTCTTTTTGCCTTGGTACAAGTGCACTTTATTCAGTTTGTACTTTGTCCAGGACACTGGAGTTAATCCTTTTTGTTTTTTAAACATTGTATTTCATGACCAGAAGCAGTAAAGGGTCCTCCCTTTCATGTCTTATGTAAAAGTTTGTTTTCAGCCCCACTCGTCAAACCGTTTCTTCTTTACTGGAATCTCTTCCAAATACAAGCTTGGCTCCGTTCACTTTATGAAATCCTAGCCCAGAGTCAGCTTGACTAGCCTTAGTTCATGATTCTTTTACATTAAACATTTCTGTATTACACAAAATTAGTGTCTTGCTGCAAGAAACAAAACCAACACTTTTTTTTTTTCAGGCCAGATGATAAAATATTCTTTGATTTCTATTTCCAAGATGTCTAAAAAAAAAAAACCAAACCAAACCAACTTTAGTTGTTGCTGCTGCTGACAGTATTGATATACAGGACAAAATGGTAGTCTTTGCTGAATAAGGGAACTTAACATAACCAGGGATCCTGGTTTTCTCTGTTTAAAAATCACAAATTCTCTGATTTAAAAAATGCAAATTCTCTGATTTAAACACCCTAAAATCCGCAATTAAAATGCCACTATATAGAGGGAGAGATCAATTAAACACAGTGTTTTATTTATATATTTGCAAGTTCAAAGAAATCTGGAAGCCTCAGTCACTATAATAAAATATATTCTAAGTACCTATACATTTTGGTGTTTGATTTTGGGTTTTTTATCATGGAAAATCAGAGCTCTTCCTGCCCTGTTAGCGTACCAGGATGCATATTCAGGCTCCTCACTTCCCACCCACAGCCTTCTCAGTCCATCCTCACTGTGGGGTGTGAGGGGCCACAGCACCCACCCCCTAGCCCTGCTAGAGGGGGCTCTCAGCTGCCAGGGCTCTGGGGCTAAGAACCCGGGTCTGCAGTCCCTTGCCCCAGCAGCAGCACCCAAACCCTGGCTGCTGCCTGCAGGAGGTGGCTGCTGCTGTGGTGGTTTTCTTCCCCCTCCCCCACGGGTGGCACAGTTGGAGTGGAGCATGTGGGGGCCCAGCAGGTGGGACCCAATGTAGCAGGGCTGGGTGGGGAAGCTCAGTGTTGCCACTGGGAGCTCCATGCCACCCTGGCAAGGTACCTCTTGCCCACCTGGCAGCAGTGAGGGGCACAGCTCCACACTGCCATCCTCACTGCTGCCGGGTGGGCAGGGGGCGCCTCACCAGGGCAGCGCGGGGCTTGCAGTGGCAAGGGGCTCCCCTGTCTGGCTCCTCTGGGCCCTGCTGTGCCATGTCCCACCCACTGGGCTGCAGAGGCCCCAGGGGGAGGGCAGCAGGGTGGTGAGCCCAAACCTGCAGTGGACAGCCTGCCCCTACCCTGCACACAAATCTGGGGGGCACAAGCACCCCATGCCCACCCTGGCAGTGCACAGAGCGGTGGGGAGCCAGCCTCACCCCCCCGCCCCATCCCCAGACAAGTTGCTCACAGCTCCATCCTGCTCCCCGCCGAGGCCCTGTAGCCATGTGTTCCCTGGGCACCAAGCCCCATGCACCATCCAGGCTGGGCACCAATTCCAGTTGTGCCTACCTCCTTCTTTCTCTCCCAGTGGGATCTCAATCCCCCCTTACACTGTCTCCAGACTTACCTGTGAAAGCTGGTCTTCAGGCTACCTGGCGACCATGTGCATGCATGAGCGTGCGCATACATATGGTGCCCCCTGCCTGACCGCCCTCTTCCCATTCCCCCCAGCCCCTTGCAGGCTGGAACTCTGTCAGCTTGCAGAGAGCTCTTTGCAAAAGTGAAAAATCTGCGTTTTTCCCTTTTTCCATGGGAAATGGAAAACCCCGATCCCTGAATATAACTAACTTTAAAACTTTGCAGTTTCCTCTTTAAATTATTTTCTGTGACTGGGAACAGACATTCAAAAAGCCTAAGCCTGAAGCAGGGGCAGTGTGGAGATCTCGGGGAGAGCTTTGGATCTCGATCTCTGAACTAGCAATAAGGCATGATTTAGATCTGATTTTGGATACCACAGTCATGCCTCCTGCCATGCATGTGTAGCCTGACAGGAGGCTTGATTATGCGGCTCTCGCATGAGATCCTATCACATGTTTACCTGAACATCTAAAGGGGTCCTTTAATACAGTTTGCTGTTGGCTTCCTCCTCATTCTAGTGTAATCGCAACAGCTATGCTCTTCTCCCAAAATGGCTAGTCAGGTTTTGGAAGAACCATAAGGAAAACTTTTTTTCACTCTCGTACAAGTAGTAGTCTGGGCCCTGGTGAGAAGCAGCTCTATGCTGTATTGATAAGGCATTACTTTTCTGCATGTTTCATTTAAATATTGTGTCTTGCTGGTTGTTTTGTTTTAAAGCAGTTTGTTTATTTTATTTATACTGAATGATAGTGAAGTTCTATAGTGCATTATTTCATCCCACCCACTCCAGTCTATGCCAGGGGTTGGCAGCATGTGTCTCATGACCCAGATCTGACACTTGGAACTCAAGGGTTTGCCAGTACCTGTGTTGCCATTGCTTATCCCAGCTCCTACTCCACTCCTTGGCTGTGTGGGCTCAGCTTCCAGCCAGCGCGGGGGCTGCATCAGGGCTCAGGAGCTGCAAGTTATGTCCACACTGCTACTGCTTTTCTCCACTCATCCCTCTCCACCCTCATCTTGTAGCTGCTCCTGTGCTGCTACGATTTCTCTCCCCTTGCCCCTGATATAGCTCCTCTCTGCCTGGCCTTGGTCCAGGCATAGGAGCTATTTTGGGGCCTTGCAGCTTCTAGCTGCCCTTGCTTTGCTGCCTGTCCTTTCTGCTTCTCCCTCCCTCTGACTGCAGTGCAGATGTAGCTTCCAGCCCATAGGGAGTTGTGGCTGGGAGGCGAGGAGGAGTGGAGTAGAGAGAAGCAGTGCCAATATGGATAGTGTGTAGCTCCCCAGTCTTGCTGCAACCTCCCACCACTTGGAAGCTGAGCCCACACACAGCCAGGGAGCAGGGCTGGGGAGAAGAAGCCACAGTATGGTCACAGCTATCTGACCTCAGCACTGGTATAAGAAAACCTCCTCTCCCCACCTCTCTTCCCCCACTATGGTACAATTGAAAGCATCTCAAGGCACCCCAGGGTGCTGTGGCATCCTGGTTGGGAATTGCTGGTTGTGTGCACACATTGAAATAATCTGTGATAATTCTTTCAGGTTTGTTACCCTGATAAAGAAACTTATCCAGAGCTGCATTTACAGACATTTTGATCCCATGTCCCTGAAGTGCTGACACTGTGCAGCCAGGGAGTGCCCTGTGCACACATCTCGGTGTGCTCTGCAGACTTCCTTAGTCTGCCTGGCAACAGATGGCAGCAGTGTTTAGGGCAGCTTTAGCAGACTTCCCATGGTCAGCTTATTTCCCTGCAGCACAGTGTGGGGATTGTGAAAGGGGCATGTTCTGCGCCTTGCTGGAGCAGTCCAAGGAACGATATGATCAAGTGGGGTGTGGGATGCTGGAGGACCATGTTCTGTTGTGAGAAAAGCCACAGCATGTACAGACATCTGTTCTCCCAGAAGAAACTCTTTCAGGAGTTTCTTAACTCTGGGTGTTCCCAGGTTATTTTTCTCCTGGAGCAGCCACTTTTACTCTAGGAGGAAAAGCCTGAACATCTGAACACTTAAGATTTCTCCTGGGAGAACAATGACATTTAGGAATTATTTTCCCAAATGATCTACATCAGAGGTTCTCAAACTAGTCTGTGGATCACCACTGGTCCACGAGCTCCGTTCAGGTGGTCCGCAGAAAGGTGACATAAGGCTAAAGCTGACAAACATTTACACCCGACTTCCTAGAACTTTGCTGAAAAAAACAGGCACAGCCGTTTGCATTAGAAAGGTAAGACTACTGATATTAAAATATGAGTTGTGTGCTTTGATTTTGTAGAACAACAAAAAGTTTAAGTGGTCTGCCAAGACCCTTAGCAATTTTCAAGTGGTCCATGAAAAAAGTTTGAGAACCTCTGACCTACACCATGGCTATATACCCACTTATACCACAAATGATTCAAATATTTAAAAAAATATAATAAATGAAATCATGAATATCACTTTGGTTATGATGCTTTAAACCAGATGTATACTGGAAAGGTGATTTTGTTACTTCACACTTGAATATTCCAAAAAAAGAATTCTATTAAAAGTATACCTCTCATTTTCCAATAGCTGTACTGATACTGGATCACTTTTTCAGGTGCTTTCTCATTTCTTTACATTTAAAGAGTTTAGGGACAGATAATTTGTACTGTTTCTGAGTATTCTGGCATGCAGTGCAAGTAGAAAAAACCCCATAATCGCTGAGTTTAAATCCTGTGTAAATGTTTTCCATAGGTCACGATCAAGACCTCATCAACGTTCCTACAGTCGAAGTAGTGAAAGATCTAGCCATAGAAGAACTCATAGCAGGTCTCGTGAAAGAGAACGTCGCAAAGGCAGAGATAAAGAAAAAATGAGAGAGAAGGAGAGGTGCAGAGGGAAAG